GATTGGTTAATTGGTATATAATCAATTCTATATAAAAAATAAATAATAATTTATTCTAACAGAATTATAGCTTAGATTAAAGGCAACAAATCTTTAAGACAGATGTTTTTTAAAGTTATTTGTTTCTGAGTTATAATCATTTTATACTTTATATATAAACAATGGATGCTTTTTGCTGTCCGGTACTCCGGTACTGTATTATTGTAGAATATCATACTAATGATTTTATTAATGTTTAGGGGTTGCATCAATTGAAGAAGGCCGATTAGAAGGGAAAACTTTGGTCTTAACGTCGAAGTGTGTTACTCGTAGTTCTACGGCAAAAGTATGTATTTTCTGAGAATTCACGTTCATAATAATGTTTTTTAATAACAAGATTATGCATGATTATTATGTAGCCGCCTCATGTAACTGAGTTCAGAAGGTAAAAACTTTTCAAATTAGTAATTACTATATGTCAAATTATAACTTTAATCATTTTCTTAAACAGAACCTGGACGGTAGACCAAGATAACAATGTTTTGACTTATACATTTGATATGGCAACGAGTGATAAACCTATGGCCCCGCATCTTTCCGCAATATTATATAGAGTATCCAAATGATCCTTGGCGTTTTCCTCGATATTTGAAATATGTTGTATGTCTAAATCTACTTAAGTTTGAATGGAACTCCAAATCTCCTGACATTGTAATGAATGTATAATTGATTGACGTAACGATAGTTGGAATATATTGCATAATAAAATTGTCAAATATTAAATGCAAATTATTATTATTATTTTTTTCTTATTCCTTACAACTCTTTCTATCCGATGATTGAGTCCTTTTTCCTTCCGTAATACATTTGATGAAATTCCAGATATCTTCGCAGCAAATCGGCTAATAGATACGTGAAATCTTAATTCTGTAACACACGATTTTATATTAAAGTTTTACAAGTTCCGATTAATACAATAATGGGAACGCAAAAGTCCGTTATTGGACGAAAAATACATTTGCTATACATGATCTTGAAATCCTATAATCTAACTTATTAAGTTTGACTCAAACCTCATTGGGTTCTAACAAGTTTTCGAATTAGGATAGCACTTGTTCAACACTTAGAGGCATTTAAGACATCTACGTACTATGCAATCACCACAAGTAGATGGTATTAAATGCAATTGCAAAGATGCATGTAACAAAAATCATTGTAAATGTAAAAAAAAAAAAAAAGAAGAAATTCTTTGTGATAATAGTTAGTAACCATAAATGTAATGCTTTTAATTTAATTTGCGATCGCTGCATTATAAATGAACTTTGCTTAAAGTGACTTAAATTCCAAAGCAATATACTTGACAAAATAATTTAGGATCCACTTAATTTTATTGTAACTTGAAATTGGATTCTTTAACTATGTTTATTCGAAATCTAAGTGGATTCTAAATCCACAATAATACTCCACTGTACGTACATCCTTATTATCAATCTACTTTTATGAATATCTATCGCTATTATTATATGCTATACCGTATATACGTAGAGCATTAATTAAAATCAGTGTTCATGTGTCGAATATACAAGAGGATATAAGACTAATACGAATTTATACTAAAATATGTAAGTGTTGCATAATCAATATATTAAATTTTTTTGTCTAGTTAATATACAACCTTATGTAATTAAATATTGTTATTTCTGACAAGTGGTTTACCAATTTGGGGGGTCGTTTAAAGCCTGGCACCATACGAAATCACCCGAAGTACGGGAAATCACGGAACACGGCCTTTTGAAAAAATGACGTAGAATCTACTTTGAGGAACCGTCGATGTTACACATCTAATACAATTATTTATGTTGTGGATTACTTTACCGCCTATGTAGTTGCGTGATATTAACGTTAATGCTTCCCCCTGTTACTTTGATCACTAAACGCGATACTTTTTAATTTTTTCTTACTGATTTTCTCACTGGGCTTTTTTTTTTTT